CCGGGGCTTCTTTCTTCTTTCGGAGGCATTGCTGGGAATCATGGTTCAAACGTATATTCTTCTGATGCTCACTGCTCACCAAGTTGTCATACTCATTTGCCACAGCAAAGTCAAGCCCACCGTATATTGCTTTCCAAAGCATCCGCTGTGCTGCCATATTTACAAATCTCACAGCCTCAATCTCCTTCCTCGTGTATTTTCTCTTGGCTCCTTCCTTCCTATCTCCAGAAGGACTTCGAGCTTCTTCCGCCCGAGTTTTTCCATCTATCCCCAAAATATTCTTTGCTCCCTTCGCTTTTCTTCTTGATCTTTTACCATTCTTTGCATCTATTTCTTTTATTGCATCCTTTCCAGTACTTTTCCTATTTCCCAAAACACCTTTCCTTTCCTTCCTATAGCACGAGCAGGAACAGTCTCAATCAACGCTGTATCATCAATAACTTCAATTCCTAAGGAACGTGGAATTATAAAGTCTTCTTGTATGAGTTTACAACCAGGTAACTTCCGAGCGGCAAGGTCGCCTTCCGGCCGCAGAACAGCTTCTAGCTCTTCAAGCAGCAATTTCTTTTTGACTTCCAAGGCATTCTCTGATACCGAATCTCCGTTTACCATAGGAGTGAAACTACGCTCTGAGGCGGCCTTTTCATGGAGCACCCTCCAGTCTTGGGTTCCAAATCGATGCATACGTTGTTCAAAGAAACTACTCTCTTTCATGCCATCACCGTCCACAGCTCCTTTCTGAAGCTCAAGCTTCTCAGAATCACAAGTCTGTCTCGCTCCTTCGACATTTGAGACAATACCCGCATCGCGGTTTTTGGCTAACAGGGCTCCTTCGACCATATTCTGACCTTCTCTTGAAGAACCTCCAAGTTTTCCGTCACACCAGGAGGACCAGGCCCCAATACACGTGCATCAATCTCATCGTTTGAAGAAGCAAAAGAATTCTCGTCTACTTCGGCAGCGGAGGCACGAACCGCTTCTTGCATCTCTTCAATAGTGCTCTGGAATTCATCGTCTTTCTTGTCAACTGAGACAGTATCCATATCGCACTTTTCTGCCAATAGGACTCCTTCGACCATATTCTGACCTTCTCTTGAAAAATCTTCAACTTTTCCGTCACAACAAGAAGGACTAAACCCCAATACACATGCATCAATCTTGTCGTTTGAAGAAAGAAGCGAATTCTCGTCTACTTCGGCAGCGGAAGCACGAACCGGTTCTTGTGTCTCTTCAATAGTGCTCTGCAATACATCGTCTTGCCGAGCAACTGAATCGATGATTGCAGGTGAATCTTGGTCTTCTTGAGCCGCCATAGAGAGAATCGAAGGTGGGTAATCTTGATGACTGAGCAGTCGTTGAGTAACGATTATTCAGAAGTGCGAACGAATTTGGCAGCGTGAGCTGGGAACTGCGAAGTCACTCTTATAAGCGAAGAAGGGCACCGGCACTACGCGCGAATGCCAGGGTCGGGCATTCACCGCAAAAATCAAGCCCCATCCGCCGTTTTTTTTAAAAAAAAAAAAGAATTTTGGGCATATTAAGGCCCATATAATTACCAAAAAAGTTGGTAATTATGTCACAGGAAAAGTTAATAAGTTTATATATATATATAGAAGATCAAATGATATTAACAAGAAAATATAATATTACACGAACATAACTAAAGAAGACTACCAAAAAGTAAAAGTAAAAAAGAAAAAGAAAAAATGAAGAATCAACAGCTGCCACTTCTAAATTAGAAAATAATTTGCAGAAAATAAGGATATCAGGAATGATGATGTCAGTTGCTCTTTTTGCAAAGTTGTCTCAGTCAGTTGCTTGATGGAAGACAAAACCTGAAGAGATTGATTACCCGAAGAGAAGAGTGGAGAATTAACAATCCAACTAAGAGAAGCCCGCAAACATTTATAATTGAAAGAATGATCTCTCCTAAATGTAAAAGTCCATTGAAAGTGTTGAAGAGTTTGGCCATGCAACAAAATCCATGAGTGACATTTTGATAGCATACCAAAAAGTGCCCAATATGGAGGTTCTAAAACCCAAGAAATACTTATCTAGTTAGAGGCCCAACTAATCATCAAAGGTATTCAAAGAATTTATAGCTTCAAAATGTTTACATGGAGGAGAACATAGATTATTATTTGGATAATGATATGGATAATTACAAATACAAAGTTTGAAGTGATATGTGATAAGTCACCCCAAAACCACCATGGCATGATTTATTGAGCACAACAAAAGTCCAAGATGGTGTACAAAGCCCATATGGAGTTTAGATTAAAGAATTCACTTAAAATATCATGCGACAAGCATGTGCTTTGGACAATAATCATAAGTGATATCCAAAAATATTCACGCAGCATCTAGAAGGCGTTCTTATACATTAATTATGATTTAATTTTGTTTTTAGGAAGTTTCCTTTTTCATTTACTATTAATAAGGTCTTTTGGTTAATAATTGTTCTAGAAGCTTGTGTTTTTATTCAGTTTCTTATTTTTTAGATAGCAGACTTATTCTTGAAATTTATGTAATTTTTTTCTCTTTATGTAATAAATGGTGCCTCCCATAGTCAAATTATCATCAATGAGGCATCATCTTAACATTATGTCTTAGGATTATGATTCTAGAGTGTTCTATAGTTGCTTATAATATAAGCTACATTTTTTGTATTTTGAGAGAGATGATATGAATGATTAATAATATATAATTTTATTTTTCTTTGTGTGAGCTTTGTTTGCATCTTCGTATTCTCGTAAGAATACTCAACAGTATCAAGGGATTGATTAATCTTATAGTGTCTTCATGGTTAGGGTTGTAAAAGACAGGCTCTCTTAATGTACTATCTCGATCATCTGTTTGGTTTCTTATGTTTGGAGTTACAAGAGACAGGTTCTTTTCGGATCTCATTGCTATTCTTATACTTGTTTCTAGCCATTCCGTTTACTTCTCCTAATATCACATATTGTAGTTTTGCCTCTATGTTTGACTTTGTGTAAAATGATAGCCTACCGTTAGGATCAATAGCAGGATTAGCTATCCCATCAGGGATAGTTGGATCAACTAGTTAATAAGTTTGTTTTATATCTTATACTTAAAGGTTATTATATTTTCAAATAGACCCATATACTTGATGATAAAATTGTTTGGATGATAAAATTGTTTGGATGATAAAATTTAAAACTAAATTTAAATGTAAAATGACTAAAAACTATGTGAGTTTTATTAAATATAAATACAAATATATCTATAGATATATATATAATACGGATATCTAACTCGATCAAATTTGAGCATTGTCGAGTTCAATTTGAGAGGGGTGTGTGTATATATTATATTTACATAATTTAATAACTTACAAGAAAAATATAATTATAAAAATGAAAAGAGTTAACGTATTATTAGAAAAAGTTGTGAATTACTAATAAACACTTAATTTGGTAATTTTTTCCTTCTCATGCCTCGGGTATTTAGAGTAATTTTATCATTTTTTTATTAAACATATGGGACTCTTTTTGAAAATACTTCTTCTCTTTCTTCTTTTTCTAGTGTCATCTTTTGTTCTCTCCTCTCTCCATCGCACCAAGTGGATTTTTTTTTATTTTAAATAAGCTCTAAATAGCTTTCAGGGTGGCACCAGTTTTGACCATAAGCTCTTCCAATAAAACACTGACCTAAACAACATAGTAGAGCTTTATCATTCCTGAAGGTGGCTTTTCCCTTCTCAACATGGCTTTTCCCATGTTCATCGCGATTCAAACACACCTTATAATTCTTTCTACTAGTCCCCAAAGTTGAATCAATTTGTAAAATTACCCTTAGGTATTGTTTGGTTGGATGTTTTTTGAAGGGAGGGGGGAAATGGAAAGAGGGAGGAGGATAAGTGTATTTGGTTGAAACGAGAGAGAGAAGGAGGGGCAATTTTTTTTGGGAAAATGACATTGAGGTCCCATGGAGAACAAAATACATCAAATAGGTCCCCTGAAATCTGATAATTTTTTTAAAGTCCCAAAGAGACTTAGATGCAATTTTCAGAATCCACTAATTACCGTTTTGCCCTGCCCCTGCATCAGAAAAAAAAAGACGAGAGAATGAACTTTGAGGATTTCCTGCACAGAAGCTTGAGGGAGAAGACATTGGGAAAGAGAGAAGGAGCCATTTATGATGAAAAATCTTCTCAATTACCATTATTGAACTCCAAAGTGCTTCCATGTGAATCTTCACAAATCTTGAGGTGTGAAACTTTCTTTTCTCTCCTCTCCTACCTTTCTTGACAGATTCTAGATTTGTTTGGGAATGAGAAATCAAAAAATCGTTTTTACCTTTGGTATTTCAAAGCTTTTGTTTTTGGTTTAGGATTCAGAAGTTAATGAATGAAAAGGCTGTGTTTTTTTGTTGGTGTGTGTTGTGATTTAAGTTGGGTGTGTAGAATGATAATGGGTGCTCTGTTTTTGGGTTGTTTTCCTCTGTTCTGACGTTACTTTAGTGGCAAAGGAAGAAAAAGATGAAGGTTAGTGAGGGTAGAAACCCTTAGCACGAAATGGGATTGTGTTGTCAATCAGGCCGCGATTGTTGTCAATGTGTGCCGCCACACTTGTCAATGTAGCTCCTTAAGTTGTCAATGACAGTTGCGTGCTGGTTGATACAGGTTTAAGTTACTGATGGTATTTCAAAGCTTTTGTTTTTGGTTTAGGATTCAGAAGTTAATGAATGGAAAAGCTGTATTTTTGGTTGGTGTGTGTTGTGATTTAAGTTGGGTGTGTAGAATGATAATGGGTGCTCTGTTTTTGGATTGTTTTTGGGTGGTTTTCCTCTGTTCTGACGTTACTTTAGTGGCAAAGGAAGAAAAAGATGAAGGTTAGTGATGGTAGAAACCCTTAGCACGAAATGGGATTGTGTTGTCAATCAGGCCGCGATTGTTGTCAATGTGTGCTGCTACACTTGTCAATGTAGCTCCTTAAGTTGTCAATGACAGTTGCGTGCTTCTTGATGCAGGTTTAAGTTACTGATGGCAAGTACGTCTGGAAAACATCTATTTTGCTTTGTTCACATAGGGAGAAAGTTTATAAATGATGAAGAAGATGATATGAGATATGTGGGAGGAAGTGTAAGAACAACCAATGTAAAGGAGGGCACAAGTTATGAAGAATTGAAGGAAATTATATCATCAATTGCTGGAAATAAAAAGCAATTCATTTCTTCTGAAATTCTCAGTTGTGTGAAGAGAATTTTTTGTAAATGGATATACACCAATAGTTAGTTTTGTAACTATATGCAACCCTTATGTTTTTTTTTGGATGGATTGTGAAATAAGTGTAGTTTTATGTATATGAAGGTACAAATAAAAGTTGGCTATGAATTGGCATATTAGATTCTGCTATCATTTCAGTTGTCATTACCTGTACCCTGTATTGTCATTAGACCTGTTATGACTTGTCAATAGAGCACTGTGACTTGTCAATTAATTTGCTGATATAAGTTGTCAACAATATGAATTCAAGTTATTTAACCTGTTTTAGTATCATATGATATTTTCAATTACTTTATCATATTATATTTTGGTTATATTGTCATATATAATCATTATTAATAAAGTGTCAATGGTGACACTATGACTTATCAATGGTCGCACTATGACTTGTCAATAGTGGCGCTATGACTTATCAATAGTGGCACACTGACTTGTCAATGGTAGCACTGTGACTTGTTGTTCGCCGAATAACTTCTTAAAACGGTTGGGTGCTGCGGCGAATATGATTAGGAGACGTAGCGCCTTGCACAGGATGACAGCTACTTGCGACAGATGGGGGAGCTGCGACGGATATGGTCAAACGCCGCGGTGAATTATCAATTGTCAATAGTGGCACACTGACTTGTCAATGGTGGCACTATGACTTGTCAATGGTGGCACACTGACTTGTCAATGGTAGCATTATGACTTGTCAATGGTGACACTATGACTTGTTAATGGTGGCACACTGACTTGTCAATGGTAGCACTGTGACTTGTTGTTTATTGAATAACTTCTTAAAAGGGTTGGGTGCTATGCGGATATAGTCAAGAGCCGCAGCACCTTACACAGAATGACAGCTCCTTGGAACAGATGGGGGAGTCGCGGCAGATATGGTTAGACGCCGCGGCGAATTATCAGTTATCAATGGTGGCACACTGACTTGTCAATGATGGCATTATGACTTGTCAATAGTGGCACTGTGACTTGTCAATGAAGCACTGTGACTTGTTAATGAAGGCACTGTCCCTTATCAATTGAATATAAATTTGAGTAACACCTTCTTCTTAATAATTATATTTTAATGCAAATATTACTTAACATTATAAATAAATGACACGTTCAGTTGTAAACATTTTGAATATCAATTGTTAATATTCACACATTTATTTGTTATGAAATTGTTAATATCACTTGTGACAATATAAATCCGTCGCG